ATTCTTTTCGTTTCATTTTACATTCCAATCTTAATTTAATTTTAAATTCTGACGCTAGTCTAATCTTAATCTCATTGCTAAAGTGAATTTGAATTCTCCTAGACGTTATAAAAACTTGAAACTTCGTACACACCTTCTTGAGGGCCTTAATTACGATCGATAAAAATTATTTATATTTTTGTTGTGTACGTTTTTATGCAACTTAATTGGTCTATGGGGTGTAAGTTTAAATAAAATTTTGTTTTTTTGTATAGAGGACATTCGATTTTAAGAACAATCAGCATTAGTTGCACCACATATTAAACTGACTGACCCGTCATCTGACTTTAACTCGATTGATGGCCACCAAAATTGATTGTCCAACAATATTAACCACTACCTTCTATTTTATATACTGTCAAAGTAATTCGGTAAAAGGTGAAGTAATTTGGAAGCTAGACGAGAGAGAAGTATTTTCCAAACATTCAAAATAAATAAATATTGAATTTTTTTTTGTTATAACAACTCAATCATAAAAAAAAAATTTAGTAAGTTTATAAACAATAACTTAAACTTTAAAAAAGTATTTATATTTCTATAATATAAAGAAACATATTTACATCTGCTTGACCAAAGAATGATAGGGATATTATTATTATGTCTCATCATATTAATGCAAGTGTGTTGAATAAATGTGCAATATAAAGAAATTCATGGATCTACTGGACTGAAGAAAGGTGTGAATATTATTATTATGTTTTATCATAGTGTGTTTGAATGAATAAGTATCTTATTAACGATAATGTAATATTTGAAATTTTTCATTATGCAAAAAGGATTAATAGTGTAATTTTATGTCATATGATGAATATTATAATTAGATGATACATTGAGTAATGACAAGGCGCAAATTTCAATGCAAGCTATCAACATTCTATAAATATATATTTTTTTAAGAATAAAAACATTCAATTCAACGTGGGATATATTTTATTTCTCAAGTGATATACAGATTATTATCTTCAACTATAGGCGCATTCATTACACACATTTTGTTATTATGATGGCAATAGAAGTTTACAATCTAGTGCTTGCTAATTTGTGCATATAAAAATATTGTCAATGGAGTCATTGAAAAAAAATGGTATTGTTCTTGTATAGATAACATTAATAATAATGATCGGCGTAAAATAAATTCTATGTTATCAGTATGGTGCGAATCATCTAAAGACATCACGTGTTGCGCCACTTGCCGAAAATTTTTATGCTGATCTTGCTTTATAAAGAATCCAATATATAAAAATAAATCCAAATTTGTAAAAGATCTGTGACTTTATCACGTGAATAATTGGTAAAATTGTGAAAATAATCTGTAAATTGCAGTTTAGATATAAAATAGCAAAGTTACCCAACTTTAAACCATTATAACTTTTTTTTTAATTAAATAACTCAAAAAAAACTTTCTATTACATTATTTTTCATGTCTAGAATATTGCAAAAATAGAGAGTTTTTGGTAAAATAGTCCATATTTAATAAAGTATCAGCACTTAAAGATCGGCAACATTTGATGATGTCTTTAGATGATCGCCACTATATCAGATTTTTGTCAATTTTGGATTCATTGGAGGGTTGGCCGTGGTTGTTAACACTTGTTTGTATGTGTGTATGTATTATGTCGAGAATTCGAGTAAATAACCGTATATATATGTGTGTGTGTGTGTGTCTGTCTATATTCCTTAAAAAATCAAAGAATTATCTTTCCATAAATAAACACTATTTGTTATTAGTAAAAAAATAGTTTTTATTATTTGCAATAATAATATCACTCCACTCTCACTTGGGTATATATTATTATACATATTATATATATAAATCATTCTAGATTCATTTTATTTACTAAAAACAATAAGTTATTCTTATCAACTAATAATGATAAAATGAATAATCCCGTAACATTTCGGTGACAAACGGGATATGATAATAATAAGTTGATAAAATAAAGAGATCGTCACCAAACATGCATATATTACATATATATATATATTATAATATTCACACAAGTTGAAAATTAAAAAGTTTTGTGATACGTTGATTATTTAAAACAAAGCACTTATTAAGGGAAATTTACAATTTTGAATTAAAATATCCGAACATTATTTTTATGCATGCATAAAAAATTTGTTTTACCATTCTGTTTGGAGAATCCCTGAAAGCTTAGGGTTTGATGAATATATATGTAAATTTTGGTAATTTTAAAATGTAGAAAATTCTAATTAAAAGATCAAAACTCAATGATTATGATCAACAAAATATTTATTTGTATCAAAAACAAATAAATAACTGATAAAAAAAAAATGAAAAAGTTTAATATTATTATCGAGTTGGCCATCCACCACTAGAAATGCATGCCTCAATTCTTCTTTTAGATATTCTTTCTATTAATTTATAGTAAGATTTGTATGGAGTTCTTGGCCACACTTCTTGTAAAGCAGCTTCCAATTCATTGGCATTTTTTGTGTATTGTGTTCGCTTATCTAATCGTCTCCCTAGTTCACTTCAAAGATGTTCAATTGGTTTAAGATTGTGAAGACCAAATTAGGTACTTTCATGAAGGCTCAAAATTTTTTCTCTTCGTTTTTTGGCATTTTTACATTTTTAAAAATTTTGATTTTTATAAATGCGACTTTATTTACTAATTTTTTTAATTTTATTTATAAATTATTTATGCTAGCCAAAATTGCATTCATATTCTAGATAATCTAAGCTACAAATTGACATAAATTTTTATTTTTATTATGTAGGATTTTGGGTAAATTCGAGAAACAAAAAATGATGTCGCGATTTTCGTTGAGTTTCGGATTTTTTTAATTAGAATTTTTCTAGACATTTTAAGATTACCAAAATTTACATATTAATATATATTTACCAAACCTAAGCTACATTTTGATAAAATTTTATCTATAGTTATTATGTGTAGTTTTGCGCAATCAGTAAAAACAGATGTCCGAAAACTTTTGTATAGGGTGTGTAGTTTCTAAATTGTACTAGTTATACAGCGAAATTTCAACACTGTAAAGTGGGTATTTTAATGCAACAGCGAGGAAATGTAATGAATCATCATTTTATAAAAAATCTTGCGTGCACATTTACTAACAATTAATATATATATATCAAATTTTTAGATTGTCTCAAATCAAGATCTATCACAAAAACAAATAGAGTTTATTGTCGTGAAAATTGCAATCACATATGGAAATTTAAAATTCCCAATTGTTAGACGTTACTATCTGTTTACTTTTTATTTATTATTGTTGTTGTACATGTATCTTATTAATGAAAAAAATTAATTTATATTATTTATTACAACCTCAGTATATATACTTTTGGATGGAGCATGGCGGTTTTAAATCCAGCTGTTAAAAAATATGAATATAAATATATAAATATTATTAATAATCTTTTTTAAAAATTTAATTTTTTTATTTTTCATCAAATAATTATTTTAACACAAATAACAATACGCGATAACGACTTTAGTTAATAAATGCCAGCATTTTATATTTGGTTAATCAATAACGACCGTTAACACTTTACACTTTTACGTTCACATTCTATCACACTGATAAAAAAATTCTTAGTTCTTACGTTTACACTTAAATACTTAAACACTTTTACAAACTTAAAACAAACATTTGCTTCTTTACTAAACAAAAACCTTACTAGCGTTTTTATTTTTTCGAGAAAAGAAAAACGAATGTATGGCCGTTAAAAGAAAAGTAAAAGTAAATAAAAAGGAGCCTTAGGAAACCTTTGTTGTTTTTTAAAAGGGACACATTATTTATTGTAAATCGTACCATAAAGTGTGCTTACAGATTGTTGAGGCTTTCTAGAAAGAATTTTACACAGTCGTTCAAATGATAAGGCAAAGTAGAGAAAAAAAAACAAAATCATTAAAATTGCAATTAAAATCATTAAAATTGCGATTGAAATCATTAAAATTATCATTAAAATCATTAAAATCACCATCAAAAACAAATGTAGGACCTATTTCAGAGGAAAAAAGGTTTAAAAAACAGCTTAAAAAGGAATATATTTTATATGATTATAATTCTTTCCAAAATATAGAATTTATTGATGGTGGATCATTTGGAATGGTTTGTTGTGCATATTCAAAGCATCATCAAGGACTTGTGGCATTAAAATCCATTAATATTGATCAAAAATATCCTTTTGAACAATTTCTTAATGAGGTAATAAATTGATAAATCTTTTTACAAATAAATAAATATATGTATATATTAACAAAAAAATTTACAATTGATTTTTTAAAGGCAAAGCAACATGGTAAAGTAGAACATCACAGTAATATATTAAGATTTTATGGCATAACAAAAGAAAGTATGCAACATGGTAAAGTAGAACATCACAGTAATATATTAAGATTTTATGGCATAACAAAAGAAAGTATGTTGACTTTTTATTATCATTGGTTTACACTATATTTATTGTACTTTTTTCATTTAGTGATGATGATGGTCGAAACTACCTTACTTGGTAGTAATAATCATTTTTGCATTTTTTTTTAATTTAGACGTCTTATATTGAATTGGAAGATGTTTCTATATCATATGATCTATATTCCTTGCTAACAGGATATTGAATGAGCATATGCACGTTTCGAGAATGTAATGACCTAAAGAATATTTCATAATACTTTGTTGACTGGGTATTTTAAAAAGAATAAATTATTGTTAGCAAATTTCTTATTGAAAAGACAAATATAACTTTTAGTACTGGATTTATACATCCAGTAGAAAAGAAACAAATCGCAGAACAAGAAGCCGAACGACGAGCAAAATCTATAGTTGAAAAGGTTATTCATTCAATAATTTTAAATTTTTAGAAAACATCTATTATTTTGCAGAGGGAAAGTAGAAGCTGCCGATATAATTGTAAGAGCAGCTGATAAAGCAAGCGAAAGATTAGTACAATTACGTGATATAGAAGCATCTAAAGAAAAATGTCCAATTCACAAAACATGATGTATTTACCTGTTGGTACACAAGGTGGTGATGAACCCAATTTATTATTAAATTTAGGTGTTTAAAATGAAAGTTAAAGATTGATTAATTAATGCTTGTGGAAATTGAACTAATGAAATACAATCAATATACAAAATTAGAATGATGATTAATAATAATAATGACAACCTTTACAATCAGATTGATATTGGTATTGGTATTGATATTGACGAGAGCTTCTTTTTTAATAACAGCAGCATTAATAATGACTGCTTTGTCAACAGCAGCAACAACGACATCTATAACGACGTCGACAACAACAGCAACAATAGCGACAACAACAACGACAACGACAACGACAACGACAACAACAACAACAGCAACAACAACGACAACAACGACAACGACAACGACAACAACAACGACAACAACGACAACGATAGCGACAGCAGCAGCAGCAGCAGCAACAACAACAACGAAAAATTGGACAACATTCGTTATGAAATGATCCAACGAAACAAACTAATAATCAAAGAAATAACTCGACCTTATGACGAAGGTGAAGAGTACGACAAAAAACTAGATAATTTATTAAACAAAATAGAGTCTTTCAGTAGAATTCGTACAAAAAGAATCCACCTGTTGGTAGCCTATTATTTTTTAGGCGAAGAACTCAAGAAGTCTATCGACCCAAAGCAAACTTGGAATTTGTTTGCAAAAGAAAGGAAACGTAAGAACGCTAGGTACGATTATAAGGCAGCTGATAGAATTTTTCAGCTGTTTCAGCAAGTTGGCATGGACCAAATCTACCACACATCTAGCTTAAGTGCCCATATTATTTACAAACTCAACAAAAAAGACTTTGACTTTTTGCTGGAAGATGCAAAATCGTTCCAAGACATGGCGAAGGACATCGAACTATAACTTACTCGTGAACATAGCAATTAGGAGAACTTACACATACTGGTGGTAACTTCAACACCACACACATTATAACGTGGATAATTTTTTTAATCTTGATACTTTTCAAGCAATTAATTAATTTATATAG